TGTAGCCGTGATACAGACCAAACAAAGACCTTGGAAGAAAACTATAGGACAGTATTTTTCATGACAACAGATACAAAAATTCTTAACAAAATATTGGCAAATTCAGTCTATTGGTGTATAAAAAAAAGGATATTATGCCCAAGTAGTATTTATTCCAGGAATGCAATATTTGTTTGACATCTGAAAATCAATAGGCTAAGTAATTTGTCACATTAGAATAAAACATAAATACCAAACAGTCATTTCAGTAGATTCAGAAAATGGGACAGTCTTAAATACCTTCATGAGAAAGACAGGAAACCAGAAGCAGAAGGTGATTTCCAAAGCAATGAAAAGCTACAGCTTCCCGGGTGGTGAACTACTGATTTCTTTCCTTTTAAGATCAGGAACCAAGGGAAGGGTCTCTGCTTTTGCCACTTTATTCAGTACTTTACTGTAGGTTCTAACCAGTGGAATGAGAGCAGAGCAGTAATCAAGGGTCATGAATTGGAAAGAAAGAAGTCAAACTGTCTTTATTTGCAGAGAAAATAATTGTGCATGTAGACACTGGCAAGAAAACTACAGGCCAGGCACGGTAGCTCACATCTGTAATCACAGCACTTTGGGAGGCCGAGGCGGGCGGATCAAGATGTCAGGAGATCGAGACCATCCTGGCTAACACGGTGAAACCCTGTCTCTACAAAAACTACAAAAAACAACAACAACAACAACAACAAAAAACCGGGCGTAGTGGCGGGCGCCTGGAGCCCCAGCTACTGGAGAGGCTGAGGCAGGAGTATGGTGTGAACCTGGAGGTGGAGCTTGCAGTGAGCTGAGATCGTGCCACTGCACTCCAGCCTGGGTGGCAGAGCAATACTCTGTCTCAAAAAAAAAAAGAAACCTACAAATGTGTACTAGAACTAAAAGTGATTTTGGGTAGATTATAGAATACACAAGTCAGTGTACAAAAATCAGCTTTATTTCTATCAACAGTCATCATTTGGAAAATGGAATTTTAGCTCATTATAATAGCAACAAAGTTTAAAATATTTAAGAATTTAACAAAATGTATGCATGATGTATATAAGCTATAAAACATTGCTTAAGAGAATTAAGACCTAAATAGAGAATTATCCCATGTTTATGGTTTGGAAGAATCAATATTGTTTAGATCATTTTAGAGAGGTTGCTGTCCTTAGAGTCAGTGGAGTTCTAATCAAAATTCCAGCAGACTTGTTTGAAGAATTGACAAGCTGATTCTAAAATGTATTATCCCGAATATTAATAATTTTAAAGAAGGCTAGAGAACTTAAGCTACCTGCTATTAAAACTTACTGTAAGCTACAGTAGTCAAGACAGTGTAGGTTTGGTGTATGGAGAGACTTTTAGACCAATGGAACAAAACAGTTCAGAAATAGACCTGCACTTTTATGGTAAATTGATTTTCAGCAGTGACACTAGGGTAAATCATTAAGAAAAGAGTCGTTTTAACAAATTGTGCTAGAACAAGTAGGTATCTTTGTGGAAAGTACTCAACCTCGAACTTACGGTATACCACACACAAAAATTAATTATGGGCCATTGATCTAAATGTGAGAGTTAAAAGTGCAAAGTTCCTAGAAGAAAAAAGAAAATCTTTGTGACATTGCATTGGGCAAAGATTTTTAAAATAAGATACAAAACCACAAACTGTAAAATAAACAATGGGCTTCATCAAAATCAAGAGTATTGCTCTTCAAAACATAATACAGAAAATGAAAAAGCAAGCAACAAACTAGGAGAAAATATTTACAAAACACATCTGACAAAAGGCTTGTATCTAGAATATACATAGAATTTGTACAACTCATTAATGAGGAGGCAACCAATAAAAGTGGATAAAGGATGTGAACAGACAATTCACAAAACAAAGTATATGAATAAGTTCAGTATAGCTGGTTATTTGGGAAATGGAAAAGTCACGATTTTACCTGTCTAGAATGAGTGAAATTAAAATTACTAATGATACCAAGATGTAGAACAATTTGAACTCATCCATTGCTGGTGAGAATGTAAAATGGTATAGCCATTTAAAAAGCCACTTATAAAAGTTTAATGTGCATTTAACATATGACCCAGCAAGTCTCTCATAGATATTAAACCCAAGTGAAATGAAAACACACTGTCCCTCTCTCCTTCTCTCTCATGTATTAATTCATGATAGCATTATTCAAATAGCCTCAAATTGGCAATAACTCAAATGTCCATCTTCTCATAAATGGATTAGAAAAACTATATATCTATAGTATACGGTATTATCCAGCAATACAAAAGAATGAACTGTTAATACAACGTGGAGATATTTCGGAAACATAATGCAAAGTGAAGTAAGTCAAACACAAAAGTCTACATATGATTCTATTAATATGAATTTCTAGAAAAGAGAAAACTTTTTGTTGACCAGTGGTTTGCATGGGACCCAGAGACTGGGAAGGGCTAAAGAGAGATGAAGGAACTTTTTGAGATGATGGAATGTTCTGTATTTTAAATAGGGTGGTGGGTTATATACCTGTATACAATTATCAGAGCTAATCAGTCTGTACACTTAAAGTGAATGCATTTTACCTCAATAAAGCTGTTAGAAAAAAAAAATCCCCTCATATTCATAGGGAATGTTTCTTTGCTTCTGTTTATATACATTACATTTTTTTTCCCAGTAAATTTAAATGAACCCGTTGAGATTTTGCTACAGCTTTTTAAAAATAAGTTCTACCTGGGGAGAAAATGTTCGATAAGGGGACAAAGTAATTAGTTTGGTGGGGTTGCTGTTTTAGATGAAATGTTTAGGGGAGGCTTTTCTTTTTTTGATAAAGGGACATTTGAATGAATACAGATGACATGAGTTGAATTAATGTTTTCTTTTCACATGTCTTATACATTTCTTACTGAATTTCTGTCTAGGTGTTTTGTAGTTTTTGTTGCTATTACAAATGACATATTTTTCTTACCTTATTTCATGGGCTAATAATCTTTAAATTACATTTTGTTTGCATTTTCATTTGCTTTCTAATCTCCCATTTGGTTTTAACAGAGACTAAGCAGGTCATTGTTGTGTGTGTTAATCTCTGTTTTTCCTTAGCTCAGTGTAGCATCAAAACGTACATAGAACCTAAAAGAGACCTGAAATGGAAACCAAAGATGCAAGTGCAGTGTTTTGTAACATAATTTTAATTTTACCGTCAAATAGAACGAGTATAGGATGCAAATAAGGATGTTGGCTGGCTCCTTTAAAAGCACCGCTGGTGGCTGAAAGGTGGGAGAAGTCAAAGAAGGTATTCTTAAATTTCACTTGCAGATTAAGAGGGAATGTCTGCAAGCAGTTGACTGGCCAGGTATAGATTAGAAATGACCTTTGGCAAGATTTTTCGTTTCATTTGAATGGGAGAGCATCTTGTAGATTTCACGCCTGATTTCAAACTTTTGGTGAGCGATGCACCTGAAACAGGCTTGAGTGACTTGAGGGCTCAGCAGTATCTGCCCAACATAAACATTAGTAGCTCATGCTCATGCCTTACCAGCAGATGGCAGCAAAATGCTGTGTTAAAATGTTCTTGCCCTATTTATTTAAGTCATATAGTAAACAGGTACTGTATATTTTTCTTTCATTTAAGACCAAGGTAGATATGATGCTCTTATTTCCTCTAAATAGGTACAACTAATACTACCATTGTGTACTGTCACTTTACAATAAATATTTTTAGAAATCTACATGATATGGCTTACCTAAAAAAATCGTATTTGGTATAGGTTTTGTTAGCAACTGCTTCACTGAAGTACTCTCCACAGTGTTATTTTACATACAGTTTTCTGCCTCGTAGATTTTTCTAAGAGAACCATTTATCATAATATGTTCTAGACCTAAATAACATTTATTAAATAATACATGAGTTTTTACTCACCTGTGGAGGCTGTGTGTGTTGTGTGTGTGTATGTATGTGTGTGTGTGTGTGTGTGAAACATTAATGATTTTTTTTTCTTTTGTTAACAAGCCAAAAATTAAGGGTGACTTTTACAAGAAGCGAGCATTTTCATCCTGGATAGTTAAGTCTGATCAATTTGTCTTTTGCACGGAATTGCTGGCTTCCAGGAGGTGCCCTGCATAACCAGTCCTTGTCCCTCTTCTGCCCCCAGCCAGAGATGCCATGGGGTGAACACCATCAAGAACCAACCTTTGGCTTAATGAAATATCTGAGGCCAGTGACAAAAGTCTGTGACTTGAGTCACATAGCAGATAAATTATTATAGTTGTTTTTTCTTCTGCAGAGATCAATTAGGAGAGGTTTTTAGAACTGTTTTAGAAAATAATATTTACACAATGCTGAGGTTATTCACATAATGCATTGCTTAATTCTTATAAACTCTAAAGTTCATATAAAACTGGGAATTCAGAATAGACTTCTATTTTTTGAAAAAACAATTTATCAAGATTACTTGACATATATCTGAAATGCTTTGGAATTTTTATAGACCACAGAAAAACTTTTTTCTTATTACTTAATATACCCTAAAACAACACAGTGTGCCACACCATAGTACATCCGTAATTTAGAGCAGCAGATGTTGCTACACATGCTTCTCTTTAAGACCAAGAAGAAGCACAAGAGAAAATAAAACAAAAAGTTCAAAACAGAAGAGCAACGTGAAACAGTGCAGAGTTGAAGGAGTTGAGTAGCCAAAGGCAGTTGGTTAAATTAGCAAAGACAGGGAATGTGGTGATCTGTACTCCGTGTTTTTTGTGTGTATCATTTTAAACACTTTGTCTTTCTCCTTTCATTAACCCAGACGTGATAACATTCTACAAAATTTATTTTCCATTAAAACTAGACTTGAATTAAACTGAGGAAAAAAGTACTTGATATTCATTACAGTGGTTGGTTGCTTCACATTTTATATGAGAATTGGCCACAGTTTGCTGTGCCATGGTAATGTTTGTTGTTTTGTCTTAGCGTCTGCTAATACTTTCATTTTGGTTTTAACTCCAGCTGATCCCACAGTTAAAGACTTAATCGGAGGCTTCACGGCTCTTCATTATGCAGCCATGCATGGCCGGGCCCGTATTGCACGCTTGATGTTAGAATCTGAATACAGGAGCGACATCATTAATGCAAAAAGCAATGACGGCTGGACTCCCCTCCATGTGGCTGCCCACTACGGCAGGGACTCATTTGTCCGGCTTCTTCTGGAGTTCAAGGCTGAGGTTGACCCACTCAGTGATAAAGGTACCACACCGCTTCAGCTCGCCATTATCCGAGAGAGGTCAAGCTGTGTGAAAATCCTCCTGGACCACAATGCCAACATCGACATTCAGAATGGTTTCCTGTTGCGATACGCCGTGATCAAAAGCAATCACTCTTATTGCCGAATGTTCCTTCAGAGAGGGGCAGACACAAACTTGGGTCGCTTAGAAGACGGACAGACTCCTTTACACTTATCTGCCCTTAGGGATGATGTGCTCTGTGCACGGATGTTATATAATTATGGAGCAGACACGAACACACGGAACTATGAAGGACAGACCCCATTGGCTGTTTCAATAAGTATTTCTGGAAGTAGTCGACCATGTTTGGATTTCTTACAAGAAGTCACAAGTATGTAATATAATTATTACTTTATTGCATTTTAAAAAAATTTGCATCTTCTGAGGAGCTTAATGTGTTTTTGCAACTTAAGATGACTAGATATTAATCATTCCTATAACCACTGCTTGGTAAGCGATGCCTCATTCTTCTGAAATAAAAAAATAACTTTGAATCACAAGATTTCATAAAAATTCAATTGTGTTTCTAAATGTAATAGGGGTAGACAGTAAGAGTGAGGGAAGGAATGGAGAGAAGGACAGAGAGGAGAATTTCTTTAAATAAACAAAGATCTGTGTTAGAACAAGGCAATTCCTGTTGGTCATAAGGATAATCTTACCTGGCTTCCATGGACTTCAAGTTGAGGAGTTAGAGGGAGAATTTTGGATTTTAGATTCCTTAGCTGTGAAAATATCCTAGAATTTGTGCTTTATTGCTAAGTTGTTCACGTTTTAGTTGTGGCTTTTCTGCTTCATGAGAACCCACATGAAATGGAACAGTGGTACTGTTTATTTAGGGATACTGCTAGTGGAAGTTAAGGATGCTAGAAATTGTTGTAAGAAAATATTTGCTAGCAGTGGGAAGTTTGGCACCACTGTCCCTGGACCACATGGCTTCCATTGTATTTGAACAATTTTTGTGTGGGTGCTTTTTTTTAAAGCCTTGAAGTGTCTGACCCACTTTCTGTAGTAATACATGCATCCTAGTTGTTTCTGTGATGGGGTATCAGTTTGTGTGGACTTAGCCATCCTCTCTTGTCAAGCTTCCACGTGACCAGTTGATTGTGTGTCTCATGCTTAATGTCCAACATGAAGCTGAAATCTGTAAACAAAATTGATTTTGCTGTCTGCTGAACTTTTTAATGAATTCCTTTTTCCTCACTGGTTTTGAACCTTTGATCATGATGATAGAAGAAGACATATTAATATCCTGGGTACCAGCTTCTAGAGGACAAAGGCTTTACTTGACTTGCTTGTAAATAACCCACTCTACCCCTTAGAACCGACCTTTGGAGTACAAACTTGCTTTATGAAGAAACAAAATGTGACTTGAATTTTGCAGGTTCATGGAAGAAAAGATGAAATTATTATCACTAATGTATTCAGACTAAAGCATAAGAAGAAATCACACTACTTTGTCTACTCAGTGCTGGCTAGTACCAGTTTCTGTAATGTTGGAAATGGTCTCTCATTACTGTCCAGTATAGTAGCCACTGGTCCCATGTGGCTGTTGAGCACCTATTAATGTGACCATTGCCACTGAGGAATTGAAATTTTATTTAATTGCGATTTAAGTTTAAATGGCCACAAGTGCCTGGTGACTCCTTTGTTGGTCCACACAGATCTGCCTGCCTTGGGAGGGGTATTTGGGGCTGACTGGTGGGCGTTCCATTGCAGAAAGCTTCTGAGACACACACAAGTAGCCAAAGACGGGAGATGTGATATCTGCAGTGCTGCAGTTCCTGGTTGCCTTGTTGTTGTTGTTCTTTTAACTTCTACATTAGAGACTTAGTTATCATGAGTGTGGCTCCCCTTAGGAAGGCGTGTTATATACTCACCTAAATGCCTCAGCCCCCTTTTTTTAAAATACTTTGTTCAGCGGTTAATGGCATAGACTAGAGCTAGACTGCAAGAGTTTGAGCCCTAACTCTATCACATGTTAGCTGTGACCTTGAGCAGATCACCTAATGTCTCTGTGCCTTAGTGTCCTCACCTTCAAATTAAGATAATATAGGCTTGTTATGAGAATTAAATGAGTTAATATTTATAATGCACTTAACATTTAACACGTTCCAGGCGCTGTTCTTTGTCATTGTTTTTCAAGATAAAGTGTGTAACTAATAAAGTGAGGGTGGATTAACAGCGAGGACTGGCTTGCTACCAACAGAGCAAATCTTTAGATTCATATTCAACTCAAGCCTCCCAGTTTCAACCATATATACAACTGTTTAGAGTCTGTACGTGGAGCCACGCAGCCAGGTGGCTGAAAGGAGCCGCTGGGCAGGAAAAGCATGTGGGCAGCCGCCCTGTGTCCCTGAGCCCTTAGAGCTGCCCGCAGCAGTGCTGTTGCACAGCAGGAATGTTGAGTTAAAGGCTCACATGCACTTTAAAATTTGAGCAGATAGAAACATCAGTGGGGACTGCCTCTGTCTGTGCTTAGGTTCTCCACTGCACGAGGAGCAGAGCTGTGCACCTAGGAGGTCCTCAGTAAGTCCAGGCAGTCTGGCTAACTCTGTACAACGAGGGGTGGGGACTGAGGAAGCACAGACTGTTTTCCTGAGTGCAGGGCCCTCTGTCTGTTAAGGCTGCAGTTGTCCTTTGTCTTCAGGTGCCTCAACATAATTTAGTATTTCTTGACTCTCCAGTGATGTTTCCTGCCAAAAGCAAATTGGTGTTTCTGCTTCACCTGTGTGTTCTTTGGGTCTAAATAGGTTTTCTTTTCCTAGTGAACAATGTGGGCCAGAAGGAGCAACTGTGGCTGATGCTCTGGACTGAGCTTTCTTATGAAAAGCAGCTCGAAAGAAGGTTGGTTAGTTTAGGGAGCACTAAATCAAAGCTGAGAGCTTCTTCTAGCCCGTGTGCTCTAAGCACTGCAGCCCCGGGCATCATGCTGTTGGCTTATGATTGGAGATCGCAGACTGCCGAGGCATAAGGACAGCAGAGGGGCCACATGGTGGTCTTCATTCAGGGACATTTTACTCTTCATCACACTGTTTTGACTAAAAACAAGATTATTTACATTGGAAGAGACCAAAAAAATTATAATACCAGAATTTAAAAACTACTCTGGCCTTTTGGAAAAATTGCCATAAAAACTCTAATATATAGTGCAAACAAAAACAAAAACAAAACAGAGTGCACTCGTGGCTTGGTAATAAAGTAGCATCTGCTGGTGACTTGTTGATGCTGAGTAGGGGGAGAGGCCAGGAAGAGCTGCTGTTGCTGTTCCCTTCAGCCAGCCCGCTGTCTAGCATTCAGACCTCAGAACCTCCCCCTTCCAGGATGGCAGGAGCACAGCAGGGCCCATCCATGGAGGAGCCTCTTCTCTGTGCCCAGGAATGATAAACACAGTTAAGAGGAGCCAAAGCACCTGCTTGAATAATGAGCATCACTTGTGGAGGGAAAGCTATGTCCTGCTTAGTTGGCAGTGTTTATGAGAAGCCAGTTTTTAGTTTTTTACTTGTAGTCAAAAAAAAAAAAAAAAGAAATGAATAAATTAAAGAGAGAACAGTGAAGGTGTGACCAGTGTCAAGTAGAAATGGTAGTGACGGCCAGGCGCAGTAATCCTAGCACTTTGGGAGGCCGAGGTGGGTGGAGCACCTGAGGTCAGGAATTTGAGGCTAGCCTGGCCAACGTGGTGAAACCCCGTCTCTACTAAAAATACAAAAATTAGCTGGGCATGGTGGCACATACCTGTAATCCCAGCTACTTGGGAGGCTGAGGCAGGAGAATCACTTGAACCCAGGAGTTGGAGGTTGCAGTGAGCCGAGATTGTGCTACTGCACTCCAGCCTGGGTAACAAGAGCGAAACTCTCTCAAGAAAAAAAAGAAAGAGACAGAGACGGAGAGAGAGAGAGGAAGGAAGGAGGGAGGGAGGAAAAGGAAAAGGAAAGGAAGAAGAAAGAAAGGAAGAAAAAAAAGAAAAGAAAGAGAAATAAATGGTGATGAGGACAGACAGCAGTGGCCATTCTAGAGGTAAATAGCCCCTTGTACCTGGGCCAGGACTAGGTTGAGGCAAGTGACGTGCAGGGCACAAAACTTAGGAGGCCCTCATTCTCAGGCTCGTGCACACAAAGTGGAATAATGTGTACATAATGTTTGCACACACACCACTCCAGAACTAAGACGATCCCAGAGGCTCTGGCGTGTGGGCATTGGTTACAGTTCTCCAGCCTCAGGTGAAGAGCAGAAGGTTGTGGGAATGTTTGCCCCATTCAAAAGAGAAACTTAGTGGTTATGCACAAGAAAAGGGTGACACAAGAAAATGTTGTTAAACAGGTACAGTACTATAACCTCGTGAAAAGATCGTTCCTCAGTAAAGCTTGAGGAGTAAATAATAATACCACCCACCCTGAAGAATCAGATAGTGAGTTAGTGATTTTTTTTTCTTCTTGCTCACAATGTAAACTCCTATAGTCAATGTATGGACCAAGGAGTTATTCAGAATATGAAATCTTTTAGAAAGAGATTCCATGAGAAAGCTGAACCTGAGGCAGTGACTAGCAAGAACATTTAATCATACATATATTCACATATACACACATATAAAAATGAGGCTTTAATGATTGGCACAACTGGAATTTTGTTTCAAAGAGAAGTAGGAGAGAACGTATGTTTTTGGGGAAAACCCCACCTCAGAATGCTTAAGCACAAATTATAGACCTGGCAAGGTAAGTACTGTTCTCACTCTAAAACCACTTCTTTAGGTGAAAGGAAAGGATTCAAAAGAAAAGAGAAAGGGCCAGGTGCAGTGGCTGACACTTGTAATCCCAGCACTTTGGGAGGCCAAAGCAGGTAGATCACTTGAGGCCAGGAGTTAGAGACCAGCCTGTCCAACATGGTGAAACCCCATCTCCACTAAAAGCACAAAAATTGGCTGGGTGTGGTGGCATGCACCTATTGTCCCAGGTACTCATGAGGCTGAGGCAGGAGAATCTGGACCCGGGAGGCTGCAGTTGCAGTGAGCTGCAATCATGCCATTGCACTCCAGCCTGGGTGACAGAGTGAGACTCCATCTCAAAAAAAAAAAAAAAAAAAAGAAAAAAATAGTAGCTGCAGTTCCTTGTGCAAATGGTATGGAAATTGGAGGAAACTTTTCAGTAACACAGTCCGGTGAAAGTTGAGACAGCAGTAAACAGGATGGCTCCCTCCTGGAGAAGGCCACTGGAAAAGAGGCGGTGTCTGATTGGCTAGATTATTTGCAAAAAAGATGCCATACTGTGCTTTCTACCTAGGAATTCCTTTCACCGTGAGGCTTTTTTCCCTTTATGTAGGGGGGAAAGGTTCGAAAGG